TAGGAGGGCGGCCGCAGGCGGCTCCGGGCCGTCTCGCAGGCTGGCTTCTCAGGAAGCGAGCGTCTGAAAAGGGCCTGTGTGCGTGCGGTTGGACCCGGGTCTCCTCCCCGCCGGGGGTCGGGGGGGCCTGCCCTGGGGCAGGAGGAGCCGGGGGTGACCCCTCGCACAGACCCTCAGACCCCCGGTTCCTCGGCCGCTCCCACTGCTGTGCTCCGGCCGCCCCCCCGGGCCGCTGACCCATCTGCCTGCGTCCCTGTCCGCTTCTCATCCTCGGAACGCGTGTCTCCCCTTGTGCACCGCTGTCCCCTCCCTCTCGTGGTCTTTGCAGGAGGGAGAGCAAGGATGGACACGTGCTCGTGGATAAACACGTGCGTGCCGCTCGCGAGTCGGGGGCAGGGGCTTGCTCGTGTCTGAACTCCTTCGGGGTCGTCTTCTGGGGTGTGGTGAAGAGTTTGTGGAGAAGCCGTGCCTTCCGCACCGCAGGCTCCTTGAGGTGCCTGGGGACACGGTCATGGCCAGAGGACCTGGTCCTCCCTGCCAAGCTCGTAGCTGCGGGAAGAGGCGGACGTCAAGCAAGACGTGTCTTAAAATGTTCTGTTGTGCTACGATGACCACCATGACAGGAAAGGTGGGCCCACTGGGAACAAGGCGGGAGGCCACACCCCTCCGGGGGCGATGGATGGGGGTTAGCGCCCAGGTGGGAGAAGCTGCCCAGGCGCCCGCCGAGGCCCTGAGGCGAGAGCAGGGCGGCGCCTTTGGGGTGCGGCAGCCAGCGCGGGTGGACGTGGAGGGGCAGAGGCCAGGGGCCACGGTGGGGCTGTTAGGCCGCAGCTTCCCTTAGGAGCTCAGAGTCCTGTCCAGATGACTTGGGCCTCACGCAGGACAGCCTGGCCCTGGACCCCGGGCAGAGGGCGGAGTGTGAGCCCCGAGAACAGAGTGGCTGGCCTGGGCCGAGGCCCCTCAGAGCTCGGTGGCCACGGCAGGAGGCCTCGGGCCTGGAGTCCGGCGACCCCGGGTTCCCATCCCAGCTCTACTCTCTCCCACGCCGGCTGCCTTCCCCACAGGGGGCTGGGCCTGCTGCAGCGGCGGGAGGGCGGGGGGCGGTACTTGCTGTACTGTCAGAAACCTCTGGACTCCGACGTGGGTCAGGCCAGCCCGCCAGCCGTGAGCCACGGCCTTGAGGGGTCCCAGAACGGAGGCGCTTGGAGCAGGCGGTGCTGCTGGAGGTCTGTCTGTCCATGGGGCACAGGAGCAGGATGGGCTGGCCAGACTGGCACAGGCCGCCCCGTGGGCACGGCTCAGGCCCCCTGGCAAGGGGGGACTCAGATGAGAGGACCACTGGGCCTGCCCCTGAGAGCCTCGCTCACCTTTCAGAGCATCTCTGCGGCCATCGTGTCTGTGTGTGCATCTCGGCCCCTCCCGGGGACAGTGGGGGTGTAGTGGGCAGTGCTGGCTGTTGGCTTCGACCCCCTCTGAAGGGTCTCCATCCCAGAGTGTGGGCCAGCGAGCCGGAGTCTGACTGAGCTCAGGGGGAGCTGCTGCTGGGGCCGGGCCACCCTCGGAACCCGAGAACAAGAGCAGAGACCTTTTCGCCGCTGCCGCCTCCACACCCTGCCCTCAGCCTGCAAACTCATAAGAAGGAAATTGAATGGCTGAGGTAGGTGCACTTTCAGTAAAACAGAGGCACAGCCGGGCTCTGCAGAGGCCTGGCGTGGCCGGCTGGCTGGCCGGCTGCCTGCCCCTCGCTTGCTGTGCCCAACCCCTCGGGTAAACCAGTCTCCAGATTCGGGGCCGGGACCTGGATCTCCGGAGCCGTGTGCCCATGAATGCGTCTTCATCCTGGCAGCTCTGCTTTCGGGTGAGGCTCTCTCTCTTACGTAACGGAGTGCAGTTTATTTTTGAGCTTTCACAGCTGCCTCCTGCAATTCCAGGAGGGTTGGGTTTGATGACGAGGAGGCTTGGGGGTCAGAGCCATGCCAGGGCCTCTTCGGACGCGGCTGGAGGAGGCCAGGGGCCTGGGCCAGAGAGCGGACGGCGCTGCCCCTTGACCTCTGCTCTGTCCCCGCCTGCACTCCGGGGCCCGTCCTCCACACCTGGGCTCCGGGTGATCGAGTCCGCTCTCCCTGACGCCCACTTGTCCACCAGCCTCCCTTCTCCCTCCCCAGGGACTTGCAGAGAGCCCCGAGAGGGGCCTGGGAGGGAGAGGGGCCTGTGGGCAGGGGGGGTGGGAGGAGGTTCGGCTCAGAGGAGAGACGGCCAGCGGGCTGGAGGGCAAGATTCAAAGGGCAGGAGGGGCAAGAGAGGGCCCGGCCGAGACTGCGCCAGTCACGGGGGCCTCAGGAACATCTCAGTGCAGACCGGCTCCCTGGGCTGGCGGGGAGGGCAGGGGAGGGGAGGGGCCCTTGGCTGGGCCCAGGCATGAGGCCCTTGGGCCCAAGTGTCTGGTGACACCATCCCCGGCACAGCCGAGTGGGCTGGGACGTGCACACGGCGGTGAGGTCTGGGGTGGGTGGCCCGGGAGCTCAGCGGAGCCCTGGCAGCCACTCGTCTGCTGCGCTGGCTCTGTCTGCCCGCATGTGGCCCTGCCAGGTCAGGTCCAAGGCTGGCCGCCAGGCCTTGATGTGACAGTTGTGACTGTGCCTGCCGGTGGGCACAGTTTGGGGTCACTGCAGGCTCTGGGAGTCTCTGGCCTCTGGGACCGCAGAGGAGCGTCTCGGGGGTGCCCCGCACAGGCCCCCGTCCCACCAGGGGAAGCCTCAGCTTGCTCTGGGAGAGGCTGAATCAGAGCAATGCCGCTTCCAAGGATGAAGGCCTGTCTTTTACTTACTTAATCCAAACCGTTTTGTGAGTCATTCATTCACACGTATGTAAGCGACTGAGCTACGAGGATCGCAGGAGGGCAAGACGCTGACTGTGCCCCAAATCAGAGTGGTGCTCGTGGTCCCTTCCCTGGACTTGCCTCTGGGCAGGCTTTGCTGGAAGCAGCACCCCTCCCGCCCCACGTGGACCAGGCCACCGCGGCCAGATGCCCTCGGCCTCTGGCAGCCCCTGTGACCTGGAGGAAGCCCCCGCAAGCCCCACATTCTGGCCCCGCCTCGTGGGCTGTGAGGGCCGCGCTGGGCACGGGGCGTGAAGTGCCTGCCAGGGTCCTGGTGCCGGCACGCGGCAGGTGCGCAGAGCATGGCCCCCGAGAGCGGCAGGTGGCACATCTCCCCCAAGCGGGGAGGCCCTGTCTCTCTGTAGGAGTCTGTGAGCTGCGGAACAGGCGGCCTTTTATGCCTGAGGGCAGAGGAGACGCTCCCTTCTCCAAGGTCGGGCTGCATTTATGACCAAACTTTAATTTTTCCCATTGGGCCCCTCAGAGGTACTCAAGGCAGCGCCGTCTGACACGGGGACACGTCACCGCACGCGCTCGGTCAGTGAATTTTTCCTCCTGCTGACGTGTCCGTCCTAGGTGGTCTGGCTGAGAGACAAGGGAAGGACCTGGGGTCAGAGCTGCCCGTTACCCTTTTGATCTCATAGTCTGATTACTCGATCGATCAAAGGCTCCACGCCCACGTCCCCGATGGAGAGGCCTTCAGCTCCGGAACGAGAGTGTCCGCAGGGCCGCTGGGCCGGGTGATGGATAGGGGCAGTCCGGGCAGGGCAGGCGGCAGGCGGCCGGCCAGCCAGAAGCACAGGTGCCGTGAAGAGGCTGCAGGGCGCAGTGCTAGCATCAGAGCTGGGGGGCGGCCGATACCAGGCTGCCCACAGAGCTGCAGGCTGTGTAGACAGGACCTGGGATGTGTGTGCACAACCTTGGCACGTTACAGAGTGTGTGAGAGGTTAGGGTAGTAATGTTGTCGGGAGTTTGGTTCTGGGGGCAGACAGCCCTACCTCCGCCGTGGACCGGCGGCCAAGCCGTCAGTCGCTTGTGTCCATGCTTGTGAGGCGGGAGAGACCCTGCACCCGCCTCGCAGCCACGTGGCGGCAGCAGAGCGTGTTGGGGCCTGTCGGGTAGCCGAACAGCCCCCCCCGCCCCAATCCTCATCCTCCGGCCCTGTGGCGTCTAGCTTGATTGTCTAGAACGGGGCGGGGGGTCTCTCTTTCCTGGAACGCAGGCTCCCTGCAAGTGACCCTGACTGCATCTGCTCGTCTTAAACCAGCACGAGACACACTGGGTCCTGCGGGTTAGCGTGAGGAGGGAGGACGGTTGTCCCCCCCCCACGGGGCGGGAAGGGCAGGACTCACACCAGGCTGACGGCTCGAGGCCTGGGGTTTTCCACACCCCCTGGGCGGCTCCAGATGGGACCACCAGGAAGCACCTGGCCTCGGAGGCAACTCGTGTGCGCTGAGTGGAGCCGCCTCGCTAATTAACGGGGGAATGAATCAGGGTTTAATTACCAGGAAGGCACCTTGGGTGGAGGATTTATGGGAATTGCTACGTGCCTTCCCGATGCCTTCACACAGCTGCTTTCTCCCCGCGTGGCTGTACACCTGGCAGGGGCAGCAAGTGGGCCTGAGGGTCTCTGTCCTGAGCCACCCAGTTAGAACAGGGATGGGGGGGGGTAAAGGATGGTGGGCCCAGGGGTGCCCTCACAGACCCCACCACCCAGGGAGCCTGTCTTCTCCCAGCGGTCTGGTCTCTGGGTGGGCAGTGGGGAACCCCAGGCAGCGTGGTCCACATGTCCACATGACCTCCGCTCTCGCGGCCCCCCTGCCCCGCTGCCTCTCAGCTGGCTTGGACATCCAGCCCTGGCAAGGATTCGGCTGCAGACAGGGAAGCGTTTGTCGACTCGTCTGGTTGGTGCGGGCAGACCCAGGGCTGCAGTCTCGGATTGAGGGTCCCCATCTGTGCCCCTGCCTGGAGGAGAGAGGTGGGCCCAGGCTGCTTCCCGGCTTGTCCTCCCCGTCAGGAGCCGCGTGCGGCCTCCGCGCCCCTCAGCCGGCGCCCTCTGCCCTTCTGTGTCTGTCCTCCCGAGACTGGCTGGGGAGCTGGCTGCCTCTCTCTCCCCCCTCAGAGCTGGAGAAGCAGGTGGAGAGCGCGCAGCTGAAGAACCAACGGCTGAAGGAGGTTTTCCAGGCCAAGATCCAGGAGTTCCGGAAGGTGTGCTACACACTGACGGGCTACCAGGTGGACATCACCACAGAGAACCAGTACCGGCTGACCTCCATGTACGCCGAGCGCAAGACCGACTGCCTCATCTTCAAGGTAGGACGCGCTACACACAGCCGTGCGCACAGAACGTCGACCGTCACCCCGACGGGCAGCCGGCCTCCCCGAGCAGCCCTGACCCCTGCAGGAAGCGTCTGCCCCCAGGCCCCTCATGGCCCTCCTCCTCGGCGTTGGCCCCATCCCTTGGGGGCAGCAGGGCGGGGGGCCCCAGCGTCAGCAGTGCCCACGGGAGGGCTGAGTAACGGGGTGAAAGTCAGGATCGGGCCAGTGAGGTGGCCCTGGCGCTGCCAGGCGTGCAGCCGGACGGCAGCGGACAGGCCGAGGGAGAGGAGCTGCCAAACCTGTGCCGTTCCCGCGGCTGAGGGCCGTCAGGCTGGGGGCTCCCCGGGGGAGCTTGCCGGCGCCGAGAGGATGGGTTTGGAGCTGTTGCACCTGCTGGCGGGAACTCTCAGCAGATCACTGGCATCTCTACTTGCTGGTCCCCGAGGGCACTGAGTCCCAGATGGGAAGCACCCTGCCCACGGCTGCTGCCCGCCCGCCGGCTCAGGGCAGGTGCAGAGTGTGAGCTGAGGACGGGGGGCGAGCCAGAGAGAAGGTAAACAGCGCAGACCGGCCGCGCCGTGCAGGTGCCGGCGGCCCGTGGGGGAGGGGAGGTGCGCTGAGCCTCCTCGGCTTGCGGCAGCTGTGACCCCCTTGGCCAGCTCACTGGACTCTGGGGGACTCGGGCCCCTTCCCACCCTGGCCCCGGGGCTCAGAAGGGCTTCCCTGGAGAGCCGAGCCTCTGTGGAAGGGTCTCGGGTGAGCTGGCGGGAGCAGAGGCCGGCCCCGCACTGCATCCCAGCCCTGCCACCTGAGGCTGGCGCACAGGTTCCCGTGGCCGCGGATCGGGCTGGGGAAGGATCTCAGGTCACGGCGGTTGACTTTATTTTCCCAAAGGTGATTTTTCAGGCAGGAGGAGGGTCAAAGGCAGAGTTAGAAATAGCTGCGTGCTCTTGCAGGTGAGGGCCCGCTGGTGTGTGCCGGGGTGATGGAGGGCTTGGGCTCAGCCCCCGGGCTCTGCTCGGGGAGCTGCGGCCCGGCCCCTGCTGCCGCGTGGGTGGGAGCTGCCTGCTGGTGCCGTTCCATTCAAGGGAAGGCAGGAACTCAGCTCCAGCTCCTTCCCGCAGGGCCTGGCCCCCTTCCCACCTGCTCCCCCGAGGAGTGGGGCTGGAGCCTTTAGAGTGTTCCTGGGAGGTTGTCCCGCGTGAGCTGGCGGCCAGGACGCCTGCTGAGCTGAGCAGCTGGTTGGGAGCTCCCGGAAGCTCCACGTGTGCGCAGGCCGTGTTCATCGCCTTGCGTCTGCTCCCTGCCGTCCTGTCCGCTGTGGTTCCCAGGACCTTTCCTGCCCTCCCCTCTACAGCCCCGGGGACGGAGAGCACCCCATGGCCAGAAGGAGGGGACTGACCGTAAGAACGGCCACAGGGCACAGCTCTGAGCCTGCGGTGCCTGGTGGGCGTTCGGGTTTGCCGGCTGCCCCCTCCTCCGTGCCTGGCCTTCCTCGGGGCCCGGCCTAACCCAGGGCCTTGCAGGATTGGACTCGGGCGACAGGCAAGATGCCGGACACAGATTCTAGAATGTGTCACACCGAGCTTGTGGCCAGCGTGGCCACTGTGCCTGTCTTAACTGCTGAGCCAGAGCTTCCAAATCTGTAAACCGGGGATGCGGTGACGTCCTCCTGTGGGGGCACACAGAAACCCGTGACCCTGTGAATGCACGATGTGGCCGGGCCACCACCCCGCTCCTCGCCAGTCCTAGGCTTACTCGCCCCAGTCTCCCGAGGCCCGAGCCTGGCTCGGCTCCCGCCACAGTGAGGGCTGTGGGCACGGAGGCCGGGCTTCAGCACGTGGCTGCCGCCGACTTGGTGTCCCCCTTGGGGAATGGGCACATGCTTTCCCCACGGGGCTGGTCCTGTGGGTCGTGGCCCCAGCGAGGTCTGGCTCGTGTGAGGGCGCCAGTGCCCCTGGGGCCCTGCTGTGCCTTGCGCTGACCTGTGGCTCCGAGCCGCTGTCCAGGCCTTGCCGACCACTGGTGTTCAGGGACGGGCACTCTCTCCGCTCACCGCCCAGAGCCGTAACCGGTGCAGACGTGGCACCGAGTCAGGAGGTCCCCGAGGCTGGAGCTCCTTCCCGCAGGCACCGTCACCCAGAGTCAGGGCCGTGAGTCCAGAGAGGCCCAGGTGGGGCCCTGCTCTCTGGGACACCGCGACGGGACCGGGGCCCAGGGACCCGGTGGGGAGGTGACCCCTGCCCCGTGCGTGTGCACCCGCCCATGTGGAGGGGAGGCGGGGAGCGGAGCTGGGTCCCTGGGCCCTCGACGAGGGGGCGTGCCTTTGTTAGAAGTAATGAACCAGTACTCATGTGTTATGACCGTAGAGTCCGTGGTTCACCTCATGTGTCGTACGGTTCTGTGGCTTTTGACAAATGCGAGCTGTCAACGTCCCACAGAACACTTGCACGCCCTAAACACCCCCAGCACCGTGGTCTCTCACTGTCTCCGTGGTTTTGCCTTTTCCAGAATGTAGTGGAGGCACATAGTCTGTGGCTTGTCCAGACTGGCTTCTCTACTTAGTGATTTGTACTTGAGGCGCCTCCAAGGTCTTTTCTTGACTCGATGAATGATTTCTTTTTCGCGCTGAGTAATCTTCCACTGTCTGGGTGGACCACAGTTCATCTATACGTTACCTGCTGAAGGACATCTTGGTCATTTCCAGGTGTTAGCAGTTATGGGTAAAGCTGCTGTAAACAGCTTTAAACACTTTTTCAGCCACTTAAACACTTTAGCAAGCTCATTCTCAGCTCGCAGGTGGTGCAGAAGCGGGTCGGGGGCTGGACGCAGCCTGGGGGTTCTCGGCCCGCCGCCCGGGGGTTCTCGGCCCGCCGCCTGGGGGCTCCCGCCCCGGACACGCTGCTCCTCCACTCAGTGCCCCTCCCTCCGACCCTCACAGCCCAGCTTGGGCGTGGCCTCCCGAGAAGCAGAAGCCGCCCTGCGTCCCTCCGTCCTCCCAGCCTGGCCCCGACGAGAGCCCATCCTCGGGGCCAGGCCACTCCCAACACCTGCCAGGGAGCTGGTCTTGTGCAGGGCCTGGCCCCGGGTCCAGATTGGGCGGCAGGTTCACGAGGGCCCAGGAGCAGGGCGCAGGGTGAGCGTGAGGCCGGAGAGCCTGCCCCGGTGGCCCCTCGTCACATTTTGCTGTGGGTCATCCTGGGCGGTGCGTCTGCTCCTCCGTGCGACCGCCTCAGGGCCTGGCCCTCAGCCCCCTCCGCATCTGGTGTGGCCCAGGACTGGCCCAGGACTGGCAGTGGTCAGCGTCTGCCGGATGGAGATGACTTTTGGGGCATGGTTGTGAGGACGCCCCGTCAGGTCGTGGGACGGCGCTGGACTCTGGGCCAGAGCCATGGAGCTGTGGCACCTTCGCGTGGCTTCGTCACGGCACGTGGACATGTGTGTAGGGGACCCGGCGCTCAGACACGTACACCTTCCCCATCTGCCTCTGTCCGGTTGTGCCCGGGTCAGTGCACCTCCTGGGGGGCCCCACGGGCACCTGCTCCTGAGAAATGAAAATACAGGTTTGGGGGAGCGCCGAGGGGTGGAGTCCCTGAGCGGCTTTCCGAGGCTGCAAAGTACAGGTAGTAGGGAGGCGGCTGGGAGGGTCCCGACCCCCCAGGAGCCGGGCAGCCCCCAGGCCGTGTGTCAGCCCCACCCATCTCGCACCCAGAGCTTTTCCCGCACGGACAGACTGGCAGAGGTCCTGATCCCGCTGTCTGGGATCTTTGCCTGCCCCCTGGGGCCCCGCGAGGTGCTGGCCTGAGGTGGAGGGGACTGGGGCCCACACAGACCCGAGGCCCTGCCCCTCACAACCTCCTCCAGCACATCCCTGCTTGCTGGGCCCTGAGGATGGGCAGAGCCGGGTCCGTCCCAAAGTCATCCAGTTGTCAGGGGACAGAGGCTCAGGCTGAGGCCCCCCGTGGCCCTGCTGCCCGCCCTGGAAGGGGCCAGGTATGCAAGCTCCCTTGAGCGTCCCCGGCTCCCCTTATTCAGGCGGGGCCTGCCGGGGGCAAGTGGACACAGGCCACCTCTGCTGCTTCCGGACGTGGGCGTGAGTCTCCAGCCGCCTGCCCCTTCCTTTTGAAGTGGCTGGGAACGAGCAGAGCGCGTGTTTGCGGGCCTGCCCTCACCACGCAGGGAGCAGACCCCTTCCGCCATCCTGGCTTACGGGGCCCCGCAACCCATGGGCCGTGCCCTGGCACCAAGCACTGGGACAGACCCCTCAGCGTCCTGCCTGCTGGATACAGGCCACCAGCCTCCTGAGCTCCCAGGACAGGGCGGGAGGGCCGAGAGGGGCAGCCCCATGGAGGTGACGTCAGGAGGAAGGGAAACTGGGGGGTGGTGGAGGCGGCAGGGGCCTCCCGGGTGTCTTCGGGCCCGACCCGTGCCTCCCTGGAGACAGTTGCCCGGTCCCCGGGGGCAGGGCAGGAGAACGGCACAGCCGAGGCCGGACCAGGCAGAAGCTGGAGCCGTGGGGCAGACGACCACGCAGCCTAGCCCAGGTGCCCGGCGCAGGGCTGGGGCTGGAGCAGGTCAGCAGGAGGGGCGCCTCGGAGCTGCCGTGGCGACAGCTCTTGGCTAGAGGTGGGAGGTCGCAGGGGCTCAGAGGAGCAGGGACGCCTCACGGCCCCCGGGCTCCCCTCGGCAGGTGCTGACCTGGACCCCGCCCCCCACACGAGGCCTCTGGACACCGTAGCGGCCGCGCGTCGCTGGGGCCTCTCCTTGTCCGGGGACACCTGGCCTCCACCTAGCGCTCACAGCCGGAGGCTGGGACTTGGAGGCTGGCGTTATGCTTTCTTCCTCTTTCTGCACGGCAGAAAGTTGACAGCGGCTCCTTGCGGCGAGCTGAGAGCAGAGGGCCTATGACGGGGCACTGTGGCCCCGGCCTCTTGGTGGCTGAGCGGGGCCGACTAGTGGGTCTGGGCAGCGAGCAGGTGGCAGGCAGCCCCTCG